GAACACTGCAAGCTGGTGCGTGTCTGTCGAAGGGGGCGCGTGGGGTGGAGCATGAGGCCCACGCGCAGAGGAAAGAAGCCGCGCGTGAGGGCTCGTGAAGCGTTTTCTGGCAACAATCCCTTCAGGTAATTTGTTCCTTATATTATTTCTGACATTTTTCGTGTTGAAAGTTTTCTGTTTCAGGGTACGCAGAAGATTCTGGACAGTGTTGTTCTTCGTTCGTTAAGGACTCGATCGTGATTTTTTGATTGCTGTAGTTTCCAAAGACTTTAGGACGAATAGTGGTGGTCCTAAAGTGATAAATTCGCAACTCTCATAATTTAAGGACTCAGATAGGTCCACTATGGTATATTGGCTTAACTCAGTTTAAATTTCAGCATTAGCAGATCATCGTGTGGGGTGATCGTTAGGATTGGGGGTTGTCATTGCTTGGCAATCATTGCTTATGCTAGAAAATTTAGGAATTATTTGCTCTGTTTTTGAAGTGTTGAGTTTTGATTGCAAGTTGGTAGTTGATTTTGTGCTTTACCTGTCATATAGTCACTGTGTGAGACTTGTTGCGTGAAAATTCGAACTTTTGTTTACATACCTTCGTGTTGCATTGATTTTCCTGTTAGAACACCTGGACTTGACCCGTTCGAACATTCCCTTGATCTAAAATCGTGAATCTTACGAAACCCTGAGAATCTAGAACGGTGTATATTGTGGTCGTAGGATAACTTTGTGTGACCTATTTGTGCTTTTGGTTGTTCTAGTTTTTTAAAAATGTCTTCACGCTTTGAAGTTGGAATTTTTAATGGGAAAGAGGATTTTTCAATTTGACAACAAAAGATGAAGGGTATTTTGGTCCAACAAAAAGTTTCAAAGGCCATAGATGGCAAATTTCCTGCAAATTTAACAGAAGTACAAAAAGAAGAGTATGAGGAACTTGCATAGACTTCAATTATTTTACACCTGTCTGATACCGTTTTGAGAAAAGTAGGAAAACTGGATTCTACAAAACAACTTTGAGAAAAGTTGGAGGACTTATATTTGCTGAAGTCAACTCCTAATAAATTGTACTTGCTTGAACAATTTTTCAGCTTTAAAATGGATCCTTCAAAGGATCTTGATAATAATCTGGATGTCTTTAACAAGTTAGTTCAAGACATCGTTAATAGTGATGAAGAGGTATCTGAAACGTATAAGGCTATTATCCTGCTTAATTCCATGCTTGATTCATATAGGGAAGTTCAGAATGCAATTAAATATGGTAGGGACACCTTAACACCCGAGATTGTCATAGACTCACTTAGGAGTAAGGAGATGGAGATTAAGGCTGAAAAAGAGAATAAGAGGAGTGGCGAGTTACATATGATAAAGAGTAGAATGAAGTTTAAGCAGATGAATTTGGGAAGAACTCAAGACGGTAGTGATTCGAGTAGTGACTCGAGTGATGAGGGTAGTAAGAAGAAGGGCAAGGGACGAGACAAGTCTAGTGGTAGAAGGTGTTACAGTTGTGGTAAGTCTGGACACTTTATTAGAGACTGTCCCAAGAAGAAAGATAAGTTGAAGGGTAAGATGAGAGGTGAGACGAATTTAGTTGAGGGGTCGAGTTATGATCCTAGTGAGGTTTATTAAGTGTAAACCTAGTCACTGCATATGCATCTGTGTGTGATCCTTTCTGCATGTGTGTGATTGTCTAATTGCATGATTATCTGCTACATTTCAATGTGTTTGATATGTGTATTTGCATGAATTTGAGACATTAGGATTACTTGGTGTAATTGCTTGCATGCATAGTGGGTTAGGATGTATTAGCAGTGTGTTGTGTGTCTTTTGGTGAGGTGTAGTATACATGTCTAGGGGTACATGGTGGTTTGTACCGGGGATGTGGAGTGTGACATATGGATCACGAGTGGAGATGTGATCAAATGTCTAGGATCCTTTATCTGGAAAGAGACCCTGATCAGGTGGAGTGTGAGAGAGGCACTTCTATCATTTCTGTTAGGTGGAGACCTATTATCCACGTAGGTTGGGAGAAGTGATGTAGAGATAGAGGATTATCTCATGGACTTAGGATCTATTGTGACTTACCAGTTAGACATGAGTTGAGTGATCTGTCTAATGAGCTTGGTGGGCGATGAGAGGAGATATGTGTGCTCGAGGTGTGAGCAACACGGAATAGGATAGGATAAGTGTGGTGAGATCTTTTCTTAGGGTCATTTATGCATGTGTTGTATATGTGGTTGACCGTGGTTTGATTGACTTGGTGTTAATCTATGGTTTTATGTGAACGTGTTTCTGAAAAGATCTGTGTGTGTTGTCCTATAGTATATCGTCATCGCATGTGTATTTGCTCTTGATTGTTTACTGTTAAATATTTGCTTCTACTTGGGTGTTTTTTACTTTAGCCCCAGTGAGTACATGGAGCAGGTATGGTATGTGTTTCAAGTTGGAAACACGAGGTAAGGTCTGTGATCCAATTATATTGGCTACCTTGATTATGCAAGTGTTAACTATGCGTTTTGATTGCTTGCAGATTTATTGGGCATCAAGGTGGAGATTTGTTAGGTTTTTGATACCCAATAAATCCTGGGTTATGATGTTAACGTGGGTTAACATTATTTCATAGGCATAGGCCGATAAATGAAATAAGTCCAACAACCAAGTCCATGAGCTACACCCGTCCCAATTGTATTTCTTCTGGATGGCTTGAATCTTGGCCCGTTTACCCCTTTAATGGCCCAACTTAAAGCCTAACTCTAGAGTATATATTTGGCTATAACCCTAGCCACTTTGATATGATGTTTTGTGTGATTTTGAGAGAAGAAATAGTGAATCCCGGCTGCCCCCCTTTTGTGTGAGAAAAAAGTGTTCAGAAGTGTCCAGAACGCTTGTATAACGTGTGCAATTGGTGGTTCTTTCATAGTATACCTTTGTGGTGTCTTCTCCTAGCCTTTGTGGCCACAAATCATCATCCTTTCTTATCCTACGTGGGTAAGATTGCATAGCAACCAAGGTGAATCAATTGGTTGTGGTTTGGAGCCGATTGGACTGGTTGTTGATTGAGAAAGGTGCGTTGGATCGAGCCTGAAAAACCACCGTTTGAAGATCATTTTGAGAGAGCTTCCGCAACAGAAGCATATCCGGTGGTGGTATAATGGAGATGGCAACAAATTTTATCTTGTGTTCGAACTCCCAACACTTAATTACAAACCCTTTCATCGAATTATTGAAGTTTTACTACTTACAACCTCAAGATACTAACTCGATCATCGAAGTTGGATAGATCATCCTTATATTCGACAACCAAGCTCTTGATCGATAGCTGCTTTGCAGATTTTAAGTCTTTAAATGACCATAAATTTCTACAATGTCATGGACAACCTAGTGCAACACTGATGAGACTTACGCTCCAAATCCATTTATACTTAAACACCAGGCTAAAGGGCTGACCAAGAATTGATTTTGATCCTGATCCCTATTTTATTGAATCTCTCCTTTGTCCCACAAACAGAACCATAGTCTTTAGTGCTCTCCTTACATAACAAGACCGTATTTGTTCAAATCAGTAAAGCTGTCACCCCATTCTAGCTAGTATATGTATATATATATTCATATTGAAACCCCACATTAGATAAGCCTTTCTTGTTTGATTTAAGCACTGAACAAGTAGTGCCCTCCAACAGAAGGTCACGATGTTTGGAGTACTAAATCGGGTCAGCTATTTTCCTAACATGGGCAGTCTTCTCTTTCTTGTCAACTTTCTCTACAAAATTCAAGTGTCACCCAACACTTCAATCAGTCTCATCTCATTGTGTATGCAATCAATTTTGTTCCTCTCTTTCTATCACTATACTCTAATATAATTTGCATTAATACTTTGGCCACACTGGTGTCTCATTCTATTGCTAATCTTCGTAATCATCGAACTAATCATATGTATTTTTTTTATTTTAATCAAATTAATTTATGTTGTAATGTATGATATCAGATGTTCAGACTTTTTTTTTAATCTACATTGATGTTGATTGCTGGCGAGTTTGCATGATTGTTGTTCAAAGGGATACGCATTGACGAAGAGGCTCGATGTCAAACTAAAATATATTGACTGAAAATTTTGAATTAATCACAAATGGTTGCTTATCAAAATATCGTGGTTGTTTTGTATTTTTGTAGATAATGACTACGTTAGTCGTGGCCTTAGCTTGTCGTGACGTTTATCTAAAGTTTTCCTTTTTTCACTTGCTATAAGCTCTTGTTTATTAAAGTGGGTATTTGTCAGTGTTTCGTGACTTATGTGTCAGAATTGAACCTACTCTTTCTTTTCATAGTTCCTAATTGATGAATAAATTTGTTATTAACGTAATTTCAACACTCATACGAGTTTACAAGTCCTAGATTGGATTGCTTTCCTTGACAGGACGCTACGCAAACCAAGTTAGATATCCTGTGTTCGTCGTCTAGACTCACACTTGTTCATGATGAATTGAAGTCTTACATAAGCTTGGTGTTTCTTACGTCAGGAGCTCGACCTTGGCCACTTTATGGCTTGGTTCATCGGAAAAATTGCACCTTTGCGGCTTTGCCATGTATAGACAAAATAACTAATGATAATTTCAGGAATTACATCATTTATATTTTGCTATATATGGTATTAGAAATGGAACGAAATGATAGAAAAATATTCACACAATGGATTTTAAGTTAAAGGGAAATGTTGGGCTACCCCAAGTTGATTTTAGTGTTGTAGGCATTAGCAAAAGGCATAAAGCAACTGGTGAGGTTAGTAGGTACGTAGTCACCCCACCAAAGGAAACGCCAAATTCCATCGGGAATCGCTTTCCTGTCAACATTTCAATACGACAAATTTTATTGTCGACCATTCCATAATTTCATTCATCGATTGGTCCTCTTTTGCAATTATAATTTTCACCGAGCCCTTGTTTGCAAATAATTCCTTCTTTGGTTTCAGTCTGAGACACTCTCAAGAGGGAGACTATAAAGATTCCAATTTTTGTTGGCCTATTTCCCCAATGAACGGCCTTGGCTTTTCCTTTATCACAACTCTCTAAACTTTCTTCTTTCCCTCTTCTTATTTCTCCCAATCCCTCTTTCCACTCCAATACTCTCCCTCTCTCTATCTAGTCTGCTATTTCAACTCTTAGAACACAAAGAATATCTCATGAAATGGCTATTAATAGTCCACTAACGTGCGAGTCACCCATGTCCGAATCTAAAAACATACGGAACGATGATTTGCAAAAGAAGTCATTAGTGTTCGATGCCTTGGTTATACAACACGAGTCCAATATACCTTCACAATTCATATGGCCGGACCACGAAAAGCCTTGTGCGAACCCACCGGAACTTCATGTTCCACTAGTCGACTTGGGCGGCTTCCTCTCTGGGGACGCCACGGCTGCCGCGGAAGCATCCAAACTGGTTGGGGAAGCATGTCGTGAGCACGGTTTCTTTCTAGTAGCAAATCACGGTGTCGATGCCAAACTCATATCGGATGCTCATTTTTACATGGACCAATTCTTTGAGCAACCTCTTCATGAGAAGCAAAAAGCTCAGAGAAATTTTGGTGAACATTGTGGCTATGCTAGCAGTTTCACGGGGAGATTCTCCTCCAAACTACCTTGGAAGGAAACACTTTCTTTTCGATACTCTGCAGAAAAAGGCTCATCCCACGTCGTCCAAGAGTATTTTAACAAGACACTAGGCGAAGATTTCGCGCATTTAGGGTACGGAAACCTTACCATATGAATTCAATTCTTGCTTAGAAACAGAATAGTTGCATGGATTCTTTTTACCAACATATTATTGATGTTCCCTCCAGCTTAAATTTTTAAATGATATGTTCAACAAGTACCAAATAGTATTCAAATTCGATTCTAAACTATTTTGCATCTATGCAGGAAAGTTTACCAAGAATATTGCAATGCTATGAGCAAAGTATCTCTTGGGATCATGGAACTTTTGGGGATGAGCCTTGGTGTGAGCCGAAGCCATTTTAAGGAGTTTTTTGAGGAAAATGAATCGATAATGAGATTGAACTATTATCCACCGTGCCAAAAACCAGACCTTACCTTAGGCACAGGACCTCATTGTGATCCCACATCCTTAACCATCCTCCATCAAGACGCGGTGGGTGGCCTTCAAGTTTTCGTCGAAAACGAATGGCGTTTCATCGCTCCAAACTTCAATGCTTTCGTTGTCAACATAGGAGACACCTTCATGGTAAGTATTTTGTTTGGTACACTGAACATGATGTTAAGCCGCTAATGTTTTGACTAGTGAATTTTTAAAAAATATGTGGTTAAGAGTTTACATGCAGAATATTTTATTGTAGAGAAAAAAGAGTTTTGATTTAAAGAATGTCAAATGGGAACTTAATTAATTTATAATATCTTCTAGTACTCGACAGTTGATCTTTGAAGAATTGGAAAGCTTATGTCAATTGGGTTTTTGTTTATTTTTACAGGCTCTATCAAATGGAAGATACAAAAGTTGCTTGCACAGAGCAGTGGTAAACAACAAAATTCCTAGGAAATCGCTTGCTTTCTTTCTTTGTCCCAAGAAGGATAAGGTGGTGAGCCCACCAACTGAATTGGTGGACTCCAATAACCCTAGAATATATCCAGATTTCACATGGCCAGCCCTCCTCGAGTTTACACAGAAGCATTACAGAGCTGACATGAATACCCTCCAAACTTTCTCAAACTGGCTTCAACTGAAAACATCTGAAAGTATAGTGTCTTAAATTAACCGGTTTCCGATGTCGTCCCATGTTGCCCTAATTTTCCCTCTCCAAAGGAAAAAAAAATAAAAAATAAAAAAAATTACTGGGTGAGGAAGGTAATGGAGGATCGAAAATGGATTTAGGAGAAAAATTAAGGTGACTACTTATGCTTACTTTCTCTTGATCAATCTGTTAAAGCAAACTTATAGATTATAGGTTTATGATGAATAAAATAATAGTTTTTTACTTTTTACTTATTTGAGGCAATTTTGTAATTTCATTTTGACCACTTAGTAGAATTATCATGTCAACATCTTTACATATATCTTTTTTCTCATAATTGCATCATATATGAGAATATGGTATCCAAGGTAGATTCCTCATTAAAAAGGAACTTTGAATTGTCCATTTTTAGTGTGCCACACCTGCTAAACAATTTTACCAACTTCTCTACTGTTTTAATTGTTGTAATATTGCCCCGTTTGATCCCCTTTTTTCAAAATATATTTTTTCATGACTCGTTATCAATCCCACATCTTCCAATAAAATAATTTTACAAATTAATTCAAATTTTTTCCAATCGGGTAAGTAATTAAATGAACGACTGAGGAATTAGCTCCATAAAATATTTTGAGATCTTAGGGCAAGTAAAATGGATTGTAAACACATTAACATAAGGCCAGGATACTTGATTTATACCTGCAAAGATAAATATAAAATCAGATTTTTTTTTTTTTACTAGTGACCACCTCACGCTTAAACACCTCATGCTTTTAATATTTATCATTTTAACACCCAACCTTAAGGCATCAATCTCGTGTCCTACTCCTTAAGCACTTATTATAGGATGAATATATATCTTATAATTATAAATGGATCCAAATATAATGGTTGAAAATCAAGTATGGCTACAATGAAGACACGCCGTGCTTGGCACCTCATGCTTGGGATAGTTGTCATTTTAACACTCAATCCCTTCATCCTTAAGATATATAGCACGTCTCCTACTTCTTTTTTATATATATATATATATATATATATATATATATATCTTACAAATTATTTATTTATTTATTTATTTTCCAGAAAATATCATTTGAATCTTGACAACTAGTAAAGAAAGAGATAGGCACACTTATGTTCTTTAATTTGACTAATGAAAATTAGTGATAACATGATCAGGAAGGAGGCGGCTAGACGGATGGGGATATGCAGCAAAAAAGGGAGCGATGCAAGCATCTAAGATTGGGATGAATATGGGATTAAATTTTTATCAACTTAACATAACTTAAAAATCAAAATAACAATTTAATATGGGATAACAATATTTTGTAGCATACACTAACGTATGTAGTATGAAAGATTAAATGGTACTAAGATGATAAGAGTGTTTATCGAAATAATGACTAAAAACCCTTTGTTTAAAAGAAATACTATTATAAATATTTCCTAAACCCTAAGGGAGCCAAAAACACCTAATTATGAAGGAGTAAATGTGCTATTTATGTTAATTTAAATTTCAACTGAAATTAAATTATTGCTTTAAGTGATTAGGTTTTGGCCTTTTGTGAGTTTTATCATTTGACTTGAGCTCGTATAGTTGTTGATCGTTCGGACGCGAATGAGTCAAACTCAAACAGCGAGATTAATTTTGCCCCTTGTAAATATTTACTTTATTAATCAAGTTTTAACCAAAATAACAAATAAAATTTTTAATTTACTTTTTTCTAATTATTAGACAGTGTACTGTACCAAACAAACCCATAAATTTTTCCTCTTCATGCTTATTTCTTTCTTGAAATCAATTGTAATCAAGATTTATGCAAATCAATTAAAAAAGTAATTGGCACAAAAGGTCCTCATCATTTGTTCTTCTTGTGTAGATCATACCTATTATTTTAAATTTGATACCTATTATTTTAAATTTGATATTTGCACCCTCAAAACAACATTTCATTATGAAAATGGCATTTCAGTCTGATTTTATTTCTTCCGTTAAATAGGTGTGCTCTACAGATGACAAAAGTTAGAAGGATAAAATTGTTGGTCCATTGAATACTTATTATTTACACATTTGATGGCCATTATTTAGGTAAAACAAAATTTTGAATAGAGATGTTTAGGAGAATGTGTTTGAAAAATAGAAAGCTGGTAGATCTCGGTAAATATTATATAAGAATTTATCTGTTCTTTGTGCCTCTCTATATGTATGTGCTTTAGCCCTAATATTGAAGAAATTCTTTATAGAAAGGGAAATAGATTCATCTAGCTTATGAGCTTCTTCATTGGATTTACTGTGTGGTATGGTAGCCGCTTCTGATCGTACCGCTCTTTCTGGCAGGAGCTCTTCTCCTTTTTTCAAGGAATCGCTCTTTTTTTAGTTTTTCGGGGAAAAAAGAGATCCAGCGTTAAGATAAAGAAGAGACACATTATGATATGATCAGTAGAAATTGATACAAAACCTCGACAAGTTAAAGCAAAGAATTGGCAGTTGGCAGTCAAAGACGGGCTACCATTTTTGAAAGCAGGGGCAAGTCAGGCGTAATTCTTTCCCGGGGGCACGAAATGTCCTGCTAACATAGGGGCACTAGGAAAAAAATTTGGGGGTAGCATGGAATGGATTTGGGGGGACTTTTTGGGAAGAAAATTAGTTTTTTATTTTTTTCATTTTTATATTGCTTTTATTACAAATTCAATGGTAAGGGTTAGGTGGTTTAACATTTTAATCCTTCAAAATTATGTTATATGCAGAGCATGTGCCTATTTTACGGATAGAACTCTATTCGCTATACATACATAAAATTTACACAAGGGTAACGAATGATAGAAACGTTGGTATAAATTACCCTTCAAAAATTATTCAAAGATATACCTCCGTGAACCACCATAACTACCCTCCACTTGAGGCCAATTAACATTTGTCCACCCCATATATAAAAAATAAATATTAAAGAATTAAAACAGTTGTCATTCTATTTGCACCCTATCGGGCTCTTAATATTTTCACATTACATTAATTAATTATAATTTAGGATCGGGTAATCCATAATTATTGGGCACAGCAAAGCCAGCAACATTGAGCAGCTGCTCTTGTTTTCGTGCCCAAAAGAATTTCTTCTATCACATGACCCTCTGTGTAATATAATTTGTTTTTTTAGCTTATTTCCATAATAATTAAATGCTTGCTTTTATTTATATTGAAAGAGAACAAATGGTACTTGTTTTTATTCTTAATTGTGACATTATTATAATATACATTGCAAATTTCCACATGGGCAGTCTCAAACAAAAGGAAAAACAACTGGACTTGCATAATGAATGGTATCCTCTTATTATATACGAATCCCACCAAAATAACACACATCTATCTTTATCATTGACTTCATATTTTTTATTTTTTTGAAGTTGGGCCCGATCTATTCTATTAAAACTCGAAGTTCTATCTTAAAATTTCAAATTTTTAAAGACTTTAAGAGTTTTATTAATTCATAATAGAATACCTAATAATATTTTTATTATTGTCTTATGCTATATCATTTATATACCAAAATGTTTTGTTCTTAAAATTAAAAATATTCACGATGTCATGTATAAAGCTTCTCTCATTCTCCCAACTTCTCTATTACTTAAAATAATATTTAATAAAAAGTAATTATTATTATTTTCATTTAAGCACTAATCATTTTGTATGATATATAGTCATATGCTAAGTTTGCTGTTTTATGTTCGTACAAAGTATTCATAATTTATGAATATTATTGCACATTATATTAGGTCAAGTTGGCAAATTTTAGTTTAGTGAGCATGTTAAGACAAATAGCATGGTCATATTGAGTTGGGAATTTGGGACAACTACTTGCTTAATAAATAAATAAATTGTATTTAATCAAGGATTGATTTGTTATTTAGTTAAATAATTACGAGGCAAGATGTCCAACCACAATTATTTTACACAAAGATCTTTATTTCTTCTATTTCTTTGTCGTTTCTATCAACAAATAACGGATTCTGATAGGAGACGACAAAAAAATGCTGAAAATATGCATTCTCGCCTCTCTTATCTTCAGTAAACTGGGAACAAGCTAATTATAAAATAGTAATTTTAATCTAATTTCAAGATTCACTACGTAGTTAGTGTTAATGATTAACACGTACTTTTGAATGATAAGATCAAGAAATGTGAAATTTCATATTTTAGTTGTGCTCGTGAATGGACGTAAAAAAGGATTAACAAGGGAGATTAGACATCTTAGCAATACTTTTACATATTTGAAAAAACCTTTTAAAACACTTTATAGATTAATCGATAATTTAAATATTAGTATAGAAAACTCAAAATCTATTTGCTATTTGAAAAAATTAAACACATAGTTTTCTTGGATTCGACATTTGATATACTACTTTATTACTTTTTCACCATCCCATTCACTTGCTTGAAACCGTTGCCGGGACCATTGTATTTAATTAGCCTTAATTAATTTTGATTAAAATTGAATTTTTTTATTGCTCATTTAGTTAATTTCAATTATTAGAAAAGTGTTACAGTGTTTTCTATTTTTCCTTTTCAAGACTTTGTATGCAAAGTTCGAAAATCAGGGATTTTGCTCAATTTGACACAAAAATCGAATGAACATTCAGGTCGAGGAATATAGAACAATTAAAAGCTCACAAAAAAACAGAAAGCCTGTGTGATTTCTCCATCCCAAGTAATAAGTGTTGGGATTTGGATTGTGTTATTGCCAAAGAAGTTTTGAGTGTAGTTAACACTTCAACTTATTGTCAAACGGACTACCCACATTGTAATCTATGCTCTCATAGTTTCTCCATAATGCTTGCATTTCGGTCTGGCTATTTGAATTGCACTTATATGTTCTATTTTTTGAGCTAAAGTTGCCAGTTGTTCTTGGATTGCTGTCAATCCATCCATCTCATGTATCCCAGCTACTTTCTGTACATCCGTTCTTTCTGTTGGCCACATTACACTAGTGAATGCCAAATCCTCCATGATTTGATAGACTTGATCCGTTGTCGTCTTGGTAAAAGATCCCTCCCATGCAGAGTCAACATTAGCCCTACTTATTGGGTTTAGCCCTATGTAGAAATATTGCACTTGGAGCCATTTTTGCAACTCATGCTGTGGACACTGACGGAGCAACCCCTTATACCTTTCCCAAGCCTCATAGTAGCACTTCGAGTCAAGCTGAGAGAATGTAGTGACTTCATCCCTCAACTTGGCAATCCTTTTAGGTAGGATATA